CGCCTGCATGAGCGGACTGGCGGTGCCTCTATATATACCCGAGACGTAACAGGTCAAGCCAGAACAAACTCCAACTGGAACTCGTCAGCTTGACAAACATTAAAGGTGAGGTGAATAGGGATAATATACTGCAGAAGACCAAAGTGTCTTTCTGTGATTATAGCGATAGTAAATATATTTTTTTTGCAGTTCCCTCCTACTGGAGTTAGTCTTGTTTGCTGAAGTTGTAGCAAGTGTAAGAAGAGAGGAATTTACACATCAGAATTAAATAAAATCACTCCAAGTAAATTAAGCATAAATTAAGCCTCACACTTCATTCTTATAGGTATTAAGAAGTTAAATCTACATACTGATAATGTGTTGAAAATCTCCTGAAGTACATGCTTTATCAACAAAGAAGTGACACTGTTTACAATATGTGATTAATTTCAGAAAAAAATGTGCTGGAGAACCAAAAAGGCAGTTGATCTAGAATGTCCATTCATTTCCAAGAAAACTGCCACTTTGGGATGTGATCTGAAATTCAATTGCCACCTCTATATGCAAATATTTGGTCAAAATATTAGATCTGATCAGTTGATTCTTGCTAGTTATCATGACAGCGATTCGAATACATTTTGAGTGACTGACATGAATGAAGACAATATTCAGTGAAATCAAAGCAAAAGCCTTGTGAAATGGAAGTTCTATTAAGCACAGTATTGGAATTATTATAGACCTTCGTAGGTTTACTACCAGGGAATTATTAGAATTATATTCTATATATAAAGTTGCTAAATTTTAAGGAATATTAATTTGAGTACTACTCATACAGATACAAAATGGGAAGCACCGGAACACTGGTAAACAGCTGCTGCTGTGGCTGCTCATTGCGCACCGGCGCGCTCATCATAGCTGCCCTCAGTCTGGTAAGTAAAACGAGATCTGGTTGAAGAGTAATCCAATTTTCGATGTGATAGCTCTGACTTCCAAAAGAAGAGTCATAACACAAGATTTCTTGGTACCTCACCTCGAAGTAAAAAAAAAAATACTGACAAGTACTGGCCTGTGGAATCACAAATGAACTTGCGCTTATACTACAATCACATAATGCAAAATCATCTGAACTTATTATTGCGGGCAAATAAGGCAAAATAAACGCGATGATAACAAATCTTTAAATGGAACGTCTGTATTCCTAATGTCACTGCTATTGTTTCCTCGCAGATATATGGGTTGCTTGGCATCGCTTACAGCATTTACATTATCGTCGCTGGTAAGTTGTGATACTTATGATCTTTTGTCAGAGATAGATAGATAGATAGATAGATAGATAGATAGATAGAGAGAGAGAGTGAAATTACATGCATTATGCAGTAGCTAATCAAAAAAAAAAAAATAATAATAACAAAGTAATGAAGTGACACGCGTTTGTCCTCGATCAGCAGGTGTGGTTGAGGGCTGGCTGGACCTGGCCTTGGCTCTCCTCAACGTCATCTTCGCCATCATCCTCATTGTGGGTGTACGCCAGGTTAGTATTTTACAGAGTTTTTGCACAGCGTTGAACTGAAGTGCCTGTGTTGCAATGTGGCAGGCAAATTAATGAAACAGCAATACGCATACCAAAGATATACGAAATACTGAAGTGCTATTTATCTTACCAGTGTCGCCGACGTCTGGTGATGGCGTGGGTGTGGTCAGCTGTACTGAGTGTGATTTTGGGCGTTGTGTTGGGCGTCCTCTACGTCATCCTCACCCAGTCCTTCGTCGTCGCGGTCATCATTGGTGCGATAGCGGCCATACAAGCTTACTTCGTGGTGGTGGTGCACTCCTTCGCTCTGACCGTAAGTCTTCGCAAGTTGTTAGCGTATTTTGATTTGATTTCATGAATGGCATGGATGTATATGGTTT